GAGTTTCAGAAATTTCCATCCATCCGGGGGCTCGGTTACCGGTGTGAAGCGACTCGCGGCCGCAACCCGCGTGCAAAGCCTTTGTCGGGAACTTAACAGGCAAATTATAATATCGTCTATGTGCTCTCTAGCTCGCGCTCCGCCGCGGCGAGGCGGGGAGAGAGGCGCGGGGCGAGTGTGAAAATTCGCGGGCTCGGGAGCGTTCTAATTCACAGCGGCGTGTCGAGAGTGTGTATATATACATATTTGTAAACCGGTGGCCAGGGACGACTATAACAGAGGGTGCAGGCGCGCGAACGCGCACCAATGTCGCGGCGTGCTCGCACGGGGTATAACGAGCCGACACGAGCCGGCGAAAGAGAACGGAGACAGAGGATCAAGCGATGTACATCGTAAATTCTCTTTGTGCGGGCCCTCGCAGAGAACGACGGTTCTGCAAGCGGAACCACGGCCGCAGAGCTTTCGAGTTCTCCGGAACGAGAGTAGTCTCGGTCGTCTTCGACCGAGCCCGAGGAAGTCGGAGCACGCGGCCACCTAATTCTTCGTTTTTAAGTGAAAACAAACGATCCTGCAAACTACTCTCTCTCTCTCTCTCTCTCCCTCTCTCTCTCTCTCTCTCTCTCTCTCTCTCTCGATCTTACTACTCCGCGCTATCCTCTTTCACGGTTGCCAACGGTCTTCCGAGGAGTGCCAGGTTTTCCGACTCGGAAAAACGGGGATTACATGCCGGGATGCGTCCTAGCTTTTTTGGTAAATCGAATCGGGCCATGCAAATCGCTCGGAGATTGCCACATGCTCGCAAATTCTTTTCCGATTCCCAGGAATCGCTGAATTCCGTGAAAAATCCTGTTCGAGATCGGAAGGAAAGGAGTTGCAGAATGTTTTGCTAAACCAATCAAGAGATGTATCTTTCGATCTTAAAGTTGCTGTGCTGGAATATCTTGCCGGAATCGTGCTAACTGATCGCTGAAATGCGGATTTTATGCGTTCTTGGGAAAAATGACTGAATCGAGAACGAAAATTGCGAAGATACGAGAAGAATTTGAGGATATTTTGATATTGTGTACAACTCGTTGTGAAATTATTATTGAAAGAGGGAAGACATTTTCATCGGACTTGCGTTTCTCATAATCAAGTTACACGATTCTTATTTTGCATAAAAGTCCGCGGTCTACTAATCACAGGCAATAGATTATTTGTGCAGATGTACTTGATTATCCTAATCTGCGACATCCGAATTCTTTGTTCTACGAGCACATTTCACAGATAAACAATTCAATCACGTACAGACTGATTGTACAAATCGGTAAGAAAATTTAATCCAGCTACGGTGCATAGTCGTAGAAACAAGACGTAAATTTGATTCAGTCGTTAGATTACTTTAAATAAAAAAATATATTTAAGAAATTAATTATATTATCGTCTTCCTGTAATTTAGACGTGTTTTATGAATACAATATCTTATTCTTTCGTTTTGGAAAGCAACATTTTTGTATTTCTGTCATGTTCATTTGCAACGTGTTTCTTCAGTGCTTCGACAATATCAAGCCAAAAACGTATCAATAATAAACTTCCGCATTTCATAGCCCTTAAGAAATTAAAGTTTCGATTCGACTGTGAAACTTACAGATCAAATGTTATTTAAAACATTCGATATCTTTAATTTAATAACTAGACTGCGAATTTTACGCACTCGTTGTAAAAATTAGCAGATGAGATTTAAAACATAAGAAAAGAATTCTAGAAATTTGAAATTGTTCACGTATTATTTTCAACCTACCACACTGATTAAAGAAACGAGAGAATTCCTATTGGGTTCTTGTTTACTGCAACTGATAAGGAAAATGTTTATTTCACATATAAAGATCCGCAGTCTGTTAATAATGTCGTTTTTAAATACAAGTAAAATTATTCTAAAGTCACAGAAACCAGGGGGGGGGGGTGGGGTGGCACGGTAATTGACACGCTTGCCCTAGGTAAAAAGAACTATCGAACTCGTCGAAAGCATCAGACGTCGCTTTAATGGGCACAGTATGTAATTGGCACAGTTACCCCAGCTGGCAAGCGACTGGCCCTTGGCAAAACGGTGCCAACAGTAGTCCTCGTTTTGTCTCGCTCTATTGGGATCACGTTGCTCGACGAAATTCCGCCGATACGCTATGCAGCAAGGATTTGCTATGCATCCTCGTTACCGAAAGCCATCGCGCGAGCAGAAGTTAATCGACGATAGCGGCCAAATAAACAAGGCACGCGTTGGGTAAATAAAACACGACCGATATACCGCGGCTAGCTGCGCTACGCGATGCAACTGGATGCAGCTAGGGGGTCGTGTGTTCTGTACACAGCGCGCGGGGCTGCTTCGAATGTGGAAATAGCAGTAACATCCGGTACCGCGAACGGAGACGCATCGTTTCGCAATCCGAGATAGTTTCGAATCGCCCGGGGCATATTCTTGAGTCGTATGGTTCGCACGTACAAGTTCTCGCAAACTCCGCGGGACCGAATGAAACGGATACGGCTCTCGTTACTCGTATAAAACAGGTACGAGGGGGCGAGGAGCCGCGTGTATTTGGCAAAGCGACCGCGTTTCCCCGTGTAATTCTCTCGCCGCTCCCACGTTTTTCCTCTGAAAACTCTCCCCCCGGAAAACAACGGTTGCTTGTCCACCAAACGAGCGCCGAGAATAGACGGAAAGATTCTCGAGAACGTCTTCTTCGGGCGGTTCGATAGCTGCTTCAATCTGCAGTGGAATCTTCGGAGCATCAAAGACGAACGGTAGAGACGGAAAGTTTCTTCTCGCAATTTCTCGATAGTTAGTTCGGTCTTCGGTATAGTCTCGTAAGCATGAATTATGAACGATATATTCGAAGATCTCACGGCAGAAGGTACAAAAATGACGATAAGTCATTCGGGACAAAAAGACAACGATTCTTTGTCCAGCGAAATTCTCTCTAATTGATGCTTAGATTGCATAGAAAAATGGACAGTTTGGGAAAAGGAGATACGATTATTCGAGCCCTGCGACTCGTATTTATAGTTGTCGATTGTCAACAACTACTAAAACGAGCCACAAGTCTCGAACAATCGTGTCTTCTCTTCCCAAATTGTCCATTTTTGTTTCCAAGCTGAGCGAATGAGCGCTCATTGGCTCGATCGCCTCGCGCCAGCTGAGCTCGCCTCTCATTGGTCATTGTTTTTCGTTGATAACTCGTTAACGGTACCTCGGAGAAAATTTTTGTAAAGGAAAAAGTTGCCTCAAATGGCCTGAGGAACCCGCCACTTTCGGATTGCGAGACATTTTTGGGACACCCTGTATATACAGACAGAATATACAGTATCAGACTCTGTCGTCCAGAGAAATAGCCTCGCGCAGAATTCAGCCGTACCTAAAAGGTTAATATTCAGTATTCAGACGTAAGATTTTGCAAAGGAACTTTGAAACCTGCATCTCTCGAGAAAATATAAAAAAAGAAATCGATTTTCTGAAAGATTGACTCTAGGATAGCCTCTTTAACACGTTGACTGCCACGCGTATTTACAACAAAATCTCCTACAGGCCACCCGTGCCGCTATAGGAAGCGTGCGCTGTTAATTCATATCTGTTTCTGTTCCTGCATGAACAGTTGGAATCTTTACCGAGTACCGAATGGTATAACTTAAAATCTCTGCCCTTATTTTTTTTCAATAATGAAAAGAGATCGGATTGCCCGGAAGGAGAAGCATAAATAAAATTACATCGTCAGATTCTGATTTGGATACTGATAAATATAATCTTAGCGATAATGAATGTTACGAAGATACTATTGACGAGATTTTACGAGAATTGGTCATGGAAGAAGAAAGAAATGTTGATGATACCGAGAAAGCTACAGTTCAAATAAGAGATACGAAATGGACCGATCAGAGGCACGAACATATCTGATAAAACAAACAACTTTTTGTCCAAGCTGTCCTGATCAACCTCAACTTTGCAGAAAATGTTTTAATGTTATACATTGCGAATAATTTTTTTAATAAATCATTTTTATAAGAATTCAATAGTTTCATTACCTCCTGTAGAATATTTGTCGAAATATTTTCGAAAATCCTTTGTAAGTAGTCGAATCAGCGTCACCCGAATTACGGGTGACGTGGCCCGATGAGAACTTTTGCTGTCACCCGAATACGGGTGACGCGGCAGTCAACGTGTTAAGCGAATAAAAGCTGAAATGTTGAAGCAAAAAGATCGGAGAACTCTCTTGGGGACAAGGTCATGAAACCGTACCTTCGATGTCCAAGAAACGAAATTACCAGACAAAGACAAAACGAGTGGAACTATTCTCCTTGTATCATCGAAACTTGCCAAGCGCCGGCATTTGCTTAGCGAACGCTACAATGCGTTCCCGCGGAAGATTACGGTTAATACGGTGGCCGAAAGGTTCGGGGACGAAAGTTCCGCGCGAGTTCGTCCGTGGCGTGTTTTTAGCGGCGAGGTAAATTTCGAATCTTTCGCGTGCGCGTCAGGCTTTATGGCTGGATAGGAGGCGGAGAATGCGCCCAAACACGGTCCTAACTTTTCGAAGCTTCGCCGTCCATGCCGCTAACTTTCGCCCGGTACCGGTTCCCTCGTAACTGAGAGGACTTAACTATGTATGGTATACGCAACAAACCGTGAACCGGATTCTCCCGCATCCTTCCCTGTTCATCCTTTCGAAAGCTCCGACGCTTTATACCGAAATAACATTTCCCAAAGATCGCGGCAACCTACGCACCGGCCCCCGCGTGCTCCGCAATCGTCTTTCTTCCCGGCAACGATCGGAAACCGTCGGGAGCAGCGAATTGAAAACGATACTCCGACTGATACTGCCCCCGGTGTCTAGATAAATCCTGACGTCCGATAAATTTCAACGATCGGCAACCGGTCGGGCGTGTACTTATAGCGTTTGGTTGCCTACTTTTCCAGCTGGAATCTCGACCCGGAAATTCTTTGATGCAGGATCTATTCCCCTTTGTTTATTCAGGGAGAAGAGCTCCATTACGACGTCACCGCCGGCATAGTGCTCTCGGACCACTCTCTCGTGCTCCAGAGTATCACTCGGGAGTCCGCTGGAAGGTACACCTGCATGGCCGTCAACGTCGAGGGCCGTGCCAGTTCTAACGTTGTCAACCTCCAGGTTATGTGTAAGTATAGCCTCCAGTCTACTTTCGTCGCGACACTCTGGAAAAAAAAGGGGGGAACACTTTGCCCGCAAACGTAAAACTTGCTCGCCGCGTTATTCCTTGCGGCCTCGACGATGATGCACGCGTGGTATAGTGCGTCGTCTCTCGCCGCGTCGAGAAGAGCCAGGAGACGCTGACAGGAGGTGCTTTCTTTCTCTCATTTTTCATTCAACTTCCTGAAGCTCGACTATTTAATCGTTGTTCACATGTTGCGTGATAAGTTCGTCGCTTGGAAATACAGTAATGTCTCTGTAATTCGCGCTCAGATTGTGCACACAAAAAATGGACGATTTGGGAAGAGGAGATACGATTATTCGAGTATTGCAGCTCGTTTTTTATAGTCGTTGAATATCGGTAACTACAAGGATTCACAAAATTATGGTACTTCCGGGAAATGAGGGGTTCCTGGGATCGTTTGAAGTAACTTTTTCCTTAGTGAAATTGCGATCCGCGGCTTCGTTTACGAGTTATTAAGGAAAAACTGTGACCAATGAGAGGCGAGGTCAGCAAGCGCATGGCGGCCGAGCCAACGAGCGCCCACTTCCGCTGATTGGCTCGGCCGCTTAGCGATAGGCGAGCTCGTCTCTGATTGGCCACTGTTTTTCGTTAATAACTCGTAAACAAAGCCGCGGATCGCATTTTCGCCAAGGAAAAAGTTACTTCAAATGACCTCAGGAGCCCCTCATTTCTCGGAAACACCATAATTTTGGGACACCTTGTACAAAAACGAGCCGCAAGACTCGAATAATGGTATCTCTTCTTCCCAAATTGTCCATTTTTGTGCACAATCTGAGCGCGAATTAAGGAAAATTTACTGTATACTCGTCTATCAGGCTGAACTTTCTCGATTCGAATGAAAAAGGAATCAACTCGGTCCGATGTATAGTTTCTAAGAAAAATACTTTCTCTATTTTTTTTTATTTAGCTACTGAATCCCCTATGGAAGTGTTACATACTACGTTAGTTCGTCGTCATAAAAATTACAGCTAATACAAGATTTATACTCTTACAGATTCTCTAATGTCTGTATTGTCAAGTACAAGGTAATCCAAAATTAATGACCGGATGCCAATCGAAAGGTCCGGAGATTGTTTCATAAGAAATTCATGTACTAACCGTTAGAGGTACAATAAACTGCTTACATAGCATAAGGATAAGAAGAGTAAAACAGTTACAAACTTCTTCCATAAAAATTACGGAAAATTCTACAGCTCGAATTCTTCTCGGTAAAACCAAAAACGCGACGACTTAATCTCTCCCCCCCTCCCTCAATTGTACATGTATTGGTCAATAAGTCGTTGCGTTATTTTCCAAATTTGTCTTTCATTTACGGAGAAAAAGAGACGCAATGACTTATTGGCTAATACAACCTTTAATAATCCAATACGACCTTTAATAATGCACGCCGATATAATCGTGCAACGAGTATAAAGCGTTTTGCAACGGAAGCGGATGAAAATTGTAAAACTGGAAGGTAGATCGCTAGATTTGACAATGTCCGATGGCTGTTGATCGTTGACCGTTTCTGTTGCAGTCGCCCCGATCTGCAAGCACATTTTAAACTTGGCCAGTTGGAGATACCAGAACGCGACGCCGCCTCCTTTGAACGTTCCCGAGGAGATTCACGGTGCTTCGAAACACGAGACCGTCGGCCTGGTCTGCGAGGTCGAGGCTAATCCGGCCTCGATCAGCTTCCAATGGACGTTCAACAGCAGCGGGGACCTCACCGACATTCCGTCCACAAAATTCACTAACGAAGGCACGTCGAGCCGGCTGAATTACACACCGACCTCCGACATGGATTACGGAACTTTGGGCTGTTGGGCCAGCAACGTCGTCGGTCACGCCAAGCAGCCCTGTCTTTACCAACTGATCGCAACAGGTCCGTACCCACTTTTAACCCAACTGATATCCCGGACAATCGACACCGAACATACAATAGCATACTCTAAAAGTTCTCTCCCTTCTTTGTCGACTCCTTGTGGTCCTTGTTCCTTCACTTTTACTTCACAACTTGTTATAACAACGTGTCGTGCGATTGTATGCACTTGCAGCGGCATATACTTACGAACATGCAAATAAATACATTTTCATTGTTTGTATTATGTGGTACATTTTACATTTTTATAATCTAGTTCGTTTTATTTCTTATATATTATTTGATGTATTGGGTTGGCAACTAAGTAATTGCCGATTTGTTCAAGGAAATAACAAATTTTTTTACTTGGAACGAAGTTTAATCTGTAATGTATTTTCCATTTTGTTCGATGACCTTTTGCGATCTCTCTGGCAACTTGAAAATTCCACGCTCGTAGAAAGTCTGATCCTTTTCGACCAAAAACTGAGTTCAGTGAGATTTTACAGCGTCATCATCGTTAAAAGTTTTACCACGGAGGGAGTTGTCCAGGGATCGAAATAAGTGGTAATCCGATGGCGCGA